CGGTTGCTCTAGTTCTTACCGTTATATGAGTTGAGTAATTACTAAATTTCAGGAACATCCATATTAGACACAGGTAACTGTATAATGATCTTACGTTTAGTAATTTAGTCTCTTGATATAAATGATCCGTTGAAAATCGTCTATTTTTTTTTCAAAATTATTTTCAAAATTGAGTTCTGTGTTATTTGTAAGGTGTTAATGTGGTTGTCGAAAGTACCCCCCATGATGTCATGCAATATCTTATAATGGATTCTGCTAAAGACTGATATATTAATAATAAGTTTTTTTTAGAAAGAATATCTCTGAGACTATAAAATTTACGCATGAGTAGTCTCATCCTTTGTATTACATATGAAATTTGTTTGTCCCATCTCATATGTTGATCAATAACAAGACCCAAATATTTAATGGATACAGTTTTTTCTATTATCGGGCATTTACAATTGTAATTTTTTGTGCATGTCATTTTGTGTAATTTCAGTTCATTAATATGCGGCTGATCATCTGAATTTAGTGAAAAAGCCATAAATTTTGTTTTACAGAGTTTGTGGAAGGATGTATGATGGTCGAATCGCTCACTTGCTTTAGTGCCTCTATTATGCCGTTAGCTAATTGTTCCTTGGTGATAGATTTTGAGGCACTTGGTTTGGCTGTGTCTTTCAATGAATCCTTATAAGTATTATTTGCTTTCGTAGGACATGGTTGAGGTATACTTTCATTTCCATCAGCATTTTTCGATGTTGAATGTTTATACTCTGAAGTTCTGCTATTTTCTGCCTGCGAGGTTATAGTGGCAACGTTGTAGTTTACTGAGTTCTGGTTATATTTTCCGTTCAGCAATATAATTATGAAATATTTGTCTAATATCGCTTTCTCAAGTTATTGATTGAGTCGTTTCAGATAGGATAGTTCAGTTTTCATACACTTTAGTTCGCCTTAAAGTGATTGAAGAGAACCTGACCTAGCTTCGTCATCGTTCATTTGGGGATCATCTTTTGTGTCAAAAGGTTCGCCGTTTTCATATCCGATGACTTTTTCAACTTCCTCACTAAGTTTGAAATCACTAAGCACTTTCTTTTTAGTGAGAATTTCTATCAAGTCAATTTTTTTTTTAGTTTATCTAATTCATGAACCACTACTTCGTCTTCACCCATGTTGCCCATATGCAGCTATATTGCAGCTGAAAGGCAAAACGTTTGTTTTTTTTAGATTGGCTGCTAGAAGACGGTGGTCAAACCATTTTTTACTAGTTTAAAGTTTGTTTTCAAACTTTTTTTTTCAGCATACTTCAGGTTTCCACCTCATAAAATATTTCCGTGAATTATCTCACCACCTAGAACAATCCCGCTGATCTAGCAGTACCACCAACCAGATGCTGACAAGGCAGTTCTCACAGGAGCACATATCTTCGAAGCTTCGCATCCACAGTCAGTCAAATTTCATTCCTCAAAGTGATAACACGTATAATTTCACATATTCTGTATTTCTATAATTTTTGAATTTCAAGTTTTGTAAAAATAAAAGTAGCATATTCAAAGATCTCACCCTCACAGTGCAATTTGAAAAAATCATCAATATAAATGTTGAACAATAAAAGACCCAATTCCCTCTAATGCCTTTTTTTCTAGTGTTTGTGAGAGCATACAATGATCAACAGTATCAAATACATCAGTTGAATCTATGAAGAGACAAAAAGAGAAATTTTACTTCGTGTATCAGTTTTCTTAACTCAAGTATTGCGTCTTCTGTAGATGTTTTCACTTTGAATCCGAATTTTCTAGCTGAAATAAGATTATATTTATTCACGAAAGAACTGAGCCTATTTTTCAAAGACTTTAGAAATATGTGTAATGAGGAAAATAGGTCTATAGTTATTTATTTGTGTTTTAGCACTTGTTTCAAAGATTGGAGTTACGAATATCGTTTTGAACGCGTCAGACCAGATACCCAGTGATAAACACATAAACCTCTAGTTTTTTTTTCATCGACTTTTGTAGCCACTGTAATAAGACATGCCGGTATATATTACAATACATGTGTTTTCCGACGTTTGGTCATACAATTCCCGGTTAGAGCTACCTTAAAAAAGTAGCGACCAATATTTTTTTGATCTAGAACTCAAAGGTCAAGTCAGGAATACGTGGTGACCATTCAATATGATCATTGTTTCCTATCCATCATAGTCATATTGGAAAAATCTCTGCAAATAGTTGTGTGATGTGGTAGAGCTCCACCATGTTGAAAATACTAATATGTCCACAAAATATTCGAAGACAAGTCTTTCAACAACTCAACTAGACTCTCCGACAAGAATTTCAAATATACCTTTTCTGTCAAAGATATCTCAAGCAGGTAGGGACCTATAATCTTGGTGTCTAGAACACCAAGCCAAACATCAACTCCAAATCTTTTTTTGGCTCTATGTAGGATAGATTTTTCTTGTCGCTAGTGAAAAATGAATATTTCTGTTGAAACAACCGATATTTGTATATCTACTGTCATTACACCAGAAAATTCTTATGATGCACTGTTTGGAACCTTTGGTGTAATGAATATTACTGGAGTTTTTACCAACACCAAACCGTTATTTCAACACCTCGACACGTGTTTCGATTACCAAGTGATCATCTTCAAGAGGAAGATTGAACTAAATATACTTACAATGTTATGCTTATTTATACCATAGATACCCATTCTAGGTAGCTGCGTCTTGAGTGTCTTGAATTAATTCCACAATATCGCCTTACCTACTAGTTTGAATTGATTTCACTATGTGTAATAGTCAGGTAAATCTAATAGTTAAAATATTATTTCAACAAGCTATATAGTATACTATTAGGTATTAGGTTAGGTTAGATCCAAAGTGAGTGGGTCTATTCGACCCTCCACCGCAACCCGCAAGGATTTATTGTGGTTCACACCTATTCACACTCGATCAAATAAACCCAGCTTCTTAACGAAGCCGATTAGTTTGTATGGTGAGTGGATTTCAGGTCAGATGGTCTAAAGACCTGATTTGGTCCCCAGCGGGGTAGGAACAAAGTATATACTCTGTTAATGAGGTAATCGGATAGTCAAGTTGCAAGATTCCCAACTTAATACCCACGACAACCTTCCCATATGAGGGTTTTTGCACGTCAGCTACACCTGACGATGCCTCAGATTCAGCCGTGCAGGGCTTTTTCGCTTCTGGTTTTGGTGAATCATCACTCGAGCGCAAACGTTTGCTAACCTGCTCATGAGGAGTTTGTTCCCACACCTGAGACAGATTCTGCGTACGCCGCTCAAGAGTTTGGTGCAAGGCGGTTTTATAAGGTACCCCGCTCTTGAGGAGACGACTCAGTCGTTTCCTGGCTGCACCACCAAACCTTAATTTGAGGTTCAGTTGTTGGATCAGGAGTTGATAAGCTCTCTCTCCTGAACTAAATTCACAGGGAGGTCAGTTGGAGTCGTAAACTCGACATCCATCTCCTCTGTAGACTCGCTCTTGGATTGAATTTACAGGGAGGTCAGTTGGGGTCGTAAACTCGACATCCATCTATTTTGTAAATTTGCTCCCGAATTAAATTTATAGGGAGGTCAGTTGGAGTCGTAAACTAGACATCCATTTCCTCTGTAGACTCGCTCCTGATCTAAGTTTACAGGGAGGTCAGTTGGAGTCGTAAGTTCGACATCCATCTCCTCTATAGACTCAGCGTCAGAAATAATTTTCAAGTTCACTTTGTCCATAAAAGTCCCACGAGTAGCTAGGGAAAGAAGGTCAATCACGGCAGAGCCCCGCATTATCGTGACAAGGCGATGCTACGACGAGAGAGCGCCCGGTATCTCGAAGGTTCCGTAGAGATAACTGATAGGCTCAGTGTCATTCATCCTCTCGGCACGGATACACACACCTTAGGATTGAGACATCGTTGGGATGCTATTCAGTTAGGAAATAACAGAACCAGAAGTGATTCTGTTATTCCCGTATCCATCGGGGCTACGTGGAAGCAGGCATCCGATGGCCGGTTTACTCAACCCCTATAACCCGAGTCAATGCACTCGCCAAAAACAGCATGCACAGTGGTTCAGCTAGTGAAAGATGAACAAGGACAACCAACCCGCCCACTATTAGGTATTGGTCCACCATCGTTATTCATAATATTATGTTTACTTATTTCTACACTCTCGTAGGCATCTAGTTGCCTGTTGTTGTTAACTTGTCTGATTGATCTTAATGAACTAAAGTCTATAGAATGGTTTTTTGCAAAATATAATGAGCGACTGCTGAACAGGGATCCTTTGTTTTCTTACATGTAACCTAGTTATATGTCATTGCCGTCCAAATCATCATATGAAGAGAATTGGGCTTTGCCAGTCCTGGCATGGACCTTTACATGTTTCCAGAGTTCAACGAAGTTACACTCTTGCTATATGACGTAAAATTCCAGTTAATATAATAATAATGATAAAAATAATAATAGGACTGTATTCCCAGAATTATAAAATAAATAAGTGTGAACATTTACTGTTTAAAAAAAAAAAATCTGTTTTTCCGTTAACCAGCTGTCGCACCCCTACGAACGACAACCCTCAGAAGTCGAAACTTGTGCGAGCTAAGGATTAAAGAGGTCTTAACTTTTAACGTGTGATTCCTAACACGGGTTGGACGATAGCAAGTGAAGATCGATCGTTCAGACTAGGGCTTGAATCACCGACCAACACGGCAGTCAATTCGAGTGAGTGAACAAATCACCCACGCCGAACCGCTTGGCTACCGACCGACCGACTGAAACGGAAAAGGCTGAGGATCAGTTGGTTGCATCAAAAGATACAACCTCTGTTTTCCTTCCTAGGCCAAATTTGTGTGAGTCACAGAGGAGGGTCAGCCAGAACCACTAGCTTTGGTTCTTACCTTACCTTGTAACTATAAAGGTGCGATTGAACAGCAGCAGTCTCATCTATTTAAGTATATTCATTGCTCATCTTCTAAGTCATTAAAATTAATTTTTGTTGTTCCAGGTATCATGAAGAGGTCAAGACGACACAAATATCTACAGATACCAGCTTTCATTCTAATCTATACAATCATGCACGTAGTGTCAGTGCCAGAAAACAGCGTTCAAAAAGATGAACAAGTTTCGAAAGTGAATACGGGGGAAAACAATCGCACAATGTCAGAACATCATCACGAGGTATTAAGACACCTCGGTTCTCACATGGACGTTGCAACTGGCAATCACAAAGGAGGTTCTGATACCGCTTCATCTGCAAAGGGCACGGAGAACAACGATACGCTCAAGATGTCAGAGCACCACCATGAGATTATCAGGCACTTGGGTCACCATTTTGGGGTTGCCACGGGGACCCACCAGGCCGATAGTGGTTCTGAAGCGAAGGTCACTGAAGTGAAGGTCAACGACACGAGTAAGAACCTAGAGCACCACAAAGAAATATTGAAACATTTCGGTACTCACTTTGGAGTCGCTACAGGAACCCACCAGTTCCATGAGGGTCAGAATCTGTCAGATAAAATTCTTGCCGATAGCAAAAATAGGACTAAAAGTTCAAATAACACGGTGAGCGTGAAAAAGGAACCTACCGCAGTTCCAGAGAAAATAAAGGCTAACAGTAGTTCAAATGCGAATTCAACTAGCGACGATCTTAACTGTACAGCACCAGCAATAAGACAGGTGAGCGAACAACTAAACATAATTACAAAGTTGTTAAAAAACTCTACAGGGTGTAACATAAGTACGTTAAAATATTCAAGTGACGTATTCCAGAAACAATTTTAAGAAAAAAGTCTATATAAACTTGTGTCCGGCAATGCTTCGTTTCGGAAAGACAGGGTGTTGAAACTGAATTTTTTTGTTCGTTTTTTAAAAATAGATTTTGCAAAAAATAAGTTATTTGCACGAAGTTTGGTACTTGGGGTTTTTTGACGTGGGAAATCATAATTTTATATTAATTTCATGTAACTTATAGAGGGCGCTACGTACACTGTAATTATTCATTTCAAATTCTTTTTGACAGTAAACTTTTGATACTTTTCATGAAAAAACCAAGTAGAAAAGGGACACTTCCTCAACAACGCTGGTGGTGATTGTTTTCGAGATATTTACAATTTTCTATATAGATGTATATTACTCAGCTCCTCAGAACAGAAAAATTCAAATTACATGTGTAAGTTTAGCTATTTTTCGGAAACTGCTCATCAAAAAATAAAACGTCAGGGTATCACTGGAAGCAGAATTTTACACCAATCAAAATGATGTGCCACTTGACACCCCTTCCCATTAGAGATTCTAAAGTTAACATATACCCCTCCTTGGGGGTTGAACCACGAGGGCTACAAATATTCCTTGGAATTATCCCCCTTGATTATAAAATTGGCCTTTCTTTCGATTGCTCATATCATTTACTGAAAGGAAGATATTAAGGGTGGGAAGTTTTCTAATTGACACTCTGTATATGAAGGTTAACATTATGAATTATTCCAGTTTATTGAATTTAAAATGTCCTAATAGGACGAAACTGCAGTAACGTTAGTTACAAACATAAGTGACATGAAAACATAGGAAATTGTATTTATCAATTTTCGTAATATATTCCTTTTATAGGGGTGAAACTTATGTCTTCTGAGGTGGTTGTTGAGATATCAGTCTCACAAGCAACTGCTGTTGTAGACTGCAGGGGATTGTTCACTACAGACGCAACGTTTTTGATAAAGAGACGAAAAAACGATAGCCACAGACAGTGAGCAAAGATGGCTCAACTTTTTCACTGAGAAATAATGCTTTTCCCTTGGCTAACTGAGGATGTTTCTGTGAAATTTTGATTTATTTAAGTTTGCTAATGCTATAAGATGCTGATGTTCTGTCGCATCCTGAAAAAGCATAAAGAAACAGCAAATTCTCTGCAATGACGTCGCCATATATTAAACCTGAAGGACAGTATAAATAAAAAAATATATAATAGAAAACTAAGCCTAATGGTTCGTTTCTATTGTATTAAATGTTAAATTGATGAAACCAAACAAATCTTTTGTGGCAATCATTTGTTGAAAAATCCTCTATTAGATTGCTTAATCATTATTTTATTGTAAAATGACCAGAAAAATGTTATAATGGCCAAAAGAAAATTTTTTCGAAAATGTTCAGTTATTTTTGTTTATAATCTTTCATTTTACAATGAAGAGTGATAGAAATAAGGTTGTAGACCATTTGATTTTCTACAAATAATGTCCCATAAAATTTTCTGTTGGGTTACTGGTTTACGAGATACAGCGAACCCCTTTTTCCAAGATGGCTGCCGGGGGACAAAGATGGCGACCCACAAACTTGAACTTGTGCTCATACTTACTCCTACTACACACCAAAAAAATCAAATTGCGTCCTCTGAAAAACGCACGCTGAAGGCCTAAAAAATGTAACATTTCAATTGATTATAACTCCGCAACCGGTTATCCAAATTCAAAACAGTGAAAATGGTTGTATAGAGAATTGAAAAACCTTTCGAGCAAAGGATCACAAGATTCCCCTTTCTATAAAAAAAATGATAACGGACTCTCTGCGGCTAGTTATGTCACACCATCGGCTTTTTGAATGATTTTTTTCTATACAAATTTCATGTAATATATACATCATATATACCTCATCAAAATTACCTTTCATTTCAAATTACTGTTCCACTCATTTATCAACCTTATTGATTGATAATTCCGCCATTAGTTTGTACGTTCATAATGTATGTTGACATGCAATATATCGCATATTTATATTCAAATTCCTCTCCTTTGCAGTTCCCGAAACCCCTGATGAGTCCTGCCACGAGGCGACATGGAGGTTTAATAATACACATCATAGTAGCCGCATATATGTTCCTGGGACTGGCAATTGTCTGTGATCAATATTTCGTGGCTTCCTTAGATAGAATATGTGAAGGTGGGTGCCATTTACGTTCTATACATAAAACGTGTTTGTTTGGTTTTGAGATGAAACGAGCTCGGCTCCGAAGAACAGACCTTTCGAATATTCCTTTATTGATTTTGACACCATGATTCTGGAAATGTGCCATTTTCGTAATCTTCCACACGGGCGTCCGAGGACTCATTTCTGAAGGATTGGCCAAGAACGAATTGAATCAATGAGAAATATTTTTAAAAAAGAATGATAGGCCCCAAAGCTAATACAAATATAACGTTTTTTTGAAAGGATCATATAAGATACAGGTAGAATTACATATAAAATCGTTTTGTTCTTCAGTTGTATATATGGAGTATATAATTTGAATCACGTACAAACATAAGAATAAAATGGAACACAAAACATTTCAGAGCCAAGGAATGGCAGAAATAATATTATACGTTTTTGTTTGCTACAAAAATTTCTATGAGGAAAGTTACTTCGTGAAATTGAGTTAGAAATACAATAAATGCAAAACATACATCAAAGTGGAACTGCGGGTCTACAGATTTGTAAAGATGAGATACTTTTGTATAGACAACTTGGTGGTATAGACATTTTCGTCTTTTCATATTTATAGCAGTACGCTCCTAGATCTTATTATTTGTTCTGAAACACTGATAAGCGACTGTACTACGGTTGATTATAGTGTATTTACTGATCATCGCCTGGTATCAGGTAAAGTAGGTTTTCCTAAAACAAAAAATCGGACTTTCATGTATAGATACAGAGACTTCAAACGGTTTAACCAAGTTGATTTTAGCACTACTTTAGGAGAGGTCGATTTTGATATAATGTATAACATGGAGGATTTGAATTGTAAAGATGATTTTTTCAAATCAAATATCCTTCGCATTTTCAGTATTTTTGCACCAGTAAGAACCGTGAGAATTTCCAAAAACAAAGCTCCTTGGTTAACAGAAAATTTAAAACTTTTGATGAAGTTAAGAGATAGGGCTTTAGTAAGATACAGGAAAAACAACTCTGTACATGGGTGGAATTATTATTAGGATTTGAGAAATATTACGAACAAAACGATAAACCTTGAGAAAAAAGCGTACTTCGAATTCAGTTTACGAAATAAAAAACAACTATGGAAAGGACTAGCAGACCTTGACATATACAGTACGAAATCAAACATGACGCTTCCAGATCACTTGTCTAATGTTAACAAAATTAATGAATACTTCTGCGGTATCAACAATAACAACTTGATTCCTGATGAGGAATGTATTTCTTTTTTTAACCAAAATGAAAAACGTGAACACACATTCAATTTCCATGCCATTAATAATAATGAAGTATATGAAGCGATTTTGAGCATTAAATCTGATGCCGTTGGTCCAGACTTACTGAGTATCAAGATGCTATTGCATTGTTGCCCTATCGTTATTCCTCATATCACTCATATTTTCAATTATTGTCTACAACGTAATGAATATCCCACTCTATGGAAACAATCACATATTCTGCCTTTAGCTGAAGTACCTATGCTAGATAATTTGAGCTTCGTCCTATCAGTATACTATGTGCGATATCTTAGGTTTTTGAAGAAAAAAAAGGAAACATATAAAAAATTATCTAGATGAATTCCATATTCTACCACCTAGTAAATCTGGTTTCCGAGCAAATTTTAGCTGCACAACTGCATTATTAAAAGTAGTTGATGGCATCCAAAGGTCAACAGATGATAATGAACTTTGCCTTCTAGTTCTGCTCGATTACTCAAAGGCGTTTAACCGCATCAACCATGTACTTCTTATATCTCTTCTGAATTACCTTGGATTCGCACCGAGTGCAATATCAATATCTATAACGGTGTTTCGCAAGGGTCCATATGGGGCCCACTACTATTTGTATTATATACATTACAATTTCCAGATTGTCTTCAATATTCTTCTGTCATCTGCTACGCCGATGATACTCAAATCTACAAAGAATGCAATGAAGATACTTTTGACATAACACAGAAAAAACTCAATGACGACTTATGTTCTCTGATGAATTTATCAACCAAATATTGCTTAACTGTCAATCCCTCATAAGTCAGTAGTTATGCACTTTGAAAGGACATTGTCACGTAAACGCAATCCAGACAAGGTTTCTATAACTGCAAACGAAGTTGAGTTACCTCTTAAGGACATTTTTAAAAACTTCTTAAGATTCACACGACATATATCGCAAATTCCGAAACGAGGGTACAGCAATCTCAAAATGATATATTCTAATAGAACACTTTTGAACAAAAACAAACAAAATGACCTTGTGCGAAGCTTTAGTGTTGTCTCATGCTAATTTTGCGGACGTAGTATATGGTCCCAATCTCCTTCAAGCTGACAAGAATAGATAACAAAAGCTACAGAATTCATGTGTGAGACTGATAACTGGAACAAAAAGACGCGACTATATATCACACCATTTGAAAGATATCGGATGGCTAAATATGGAGTCGCGACCCATTCTACATTCAACTGTAATGTTTCATAATAAAAATGAAACCTCTTGACACCCCTTTCCTTTTAAGATTCTAAGGGTAACATCTACCCCTCTTCGGCGATTGAACCACGAGGGCTACAAATATTCCTTGAAAGTGACCCCTTTGGCAATAAAATTGACCTGTTTTTTCGATCCCTCATATTATTTACTAGAAAGGTATTAATGGTGCGAAGTTTCCAAATTGACACCCTGTATAATAATTTGAAATATAGACATATTATCTTTGATTATATATATTACCTACTATCAAGATTTCATCCACCAGTCACGTGATCTGTCTGTCTTTTCCAGAACTGAAAATGTCTCCAGACGTAGCTGGAGCAACATTTATGGCCGCAGGGAGTTCTGCTCCAGAACTAGCTACCGTTATTATAGGAGTTTTTTTCGCTAAGGATGACATTGGTGAGTGTCCAATAAGAGGTTTTCCTTTTTCAATGCAAAAAAATTTATAAAATATTCGACCAAATCTTTTTCTTTCTCTATTGTTTTTGTTCTTTGATGTTTGGTATACTTATTAATGAACTATTCATGAAAATTTTTAATTATTATCATGAATACTGTTATTGATTTTCACCACGTAACGGGTCAATGTATTCAAAAAATTATTATTTGACGACTGCATTTGATGAAACAGAAATATTTGAAAAACTGCCACTCATACTCCAATGGCACTTCAATAAAAAAGCTGTTATTTTATTCGCTTGCTATGACTTCGTCAGTTTGGACTAATCTATTTCATGGAGCATTCGGTAAAAACTCAAATAAACTGGTGAAGAATATTGCCTTCGCCAATTCTCGAATATTTTCTGCGCATTTATAGCCTCATCTTGAAATGTTTCTAAACACAATAGACAAACATCCTTTGCGTCTACTACCCGGCCTCATTGTTTACATAATAGTGAAGTAAATGCTCAAGAGAAATAGGTTATTTTGTCTACTCCCTAAATTCTACACATTTCGATGTTATTTAGTTTCAATTGTACCTATCATTTTCGTAAAAAAATCAACGGTTATAGTTAGGTACATAGTACCTTATACCTATTCAGAACTGTAACGAAATACAGGGTTTTCCATTAAGAAATACACAGCTTTGATGTGTCACACTTGTTTGAGCAACCCTCTGTAGACTCAAAGATAAATTCCTTCTGCAGCTTTAATTATACCACCAAAATGAAGAAAATGCATAATACATATCTATGATTTTCATTTTCATGTTCTCCAGTAAAAATTGTGAGGTTGGAGTACCCGCATCCTCTCCTATCTTCAATCATAACAAAGGTAGCCTCCTATGTCTTTTACACTTCTGAAAATGCTTGAATATGTTTCTTGGTATCGAGACGAATCCATTGATGCCGAAATTATCGAAATCAGACGACCGGAAGTGAAAAGCAGCCGGCGACCCCTTAGACCATGTGAATATTGAAGTTACGAAAACCTTTATATTATATGATACAAATATTACCGAACTGCATGAAACATTATTTTCCATTAAAAATAAAAACTTCACAGGCTCAGATGAAATCTCTATAATACATGAGCGCCAGAAAACGCCTAAGATCATTGATGTATACAAGAAACATAATTGGAGGCATTATGGGTCCCAGGCGAATACCGGTGTCTATGATAAAGGTATACAATAGGGAATCATTGATTATTACTTGTAACAGACCGGACAGGGTCTGAGTACAGAACCGAATTCGGCTTGATTTGACCGCGGAAGTCAATGAAAGTATTGAACTAATTACATTGGGTACTATTACAGGAAATGTTGTTTTGCAGGAATCTCCGGTGTGATAGGCTCTGCGGTGTTCAACATAATGTTTGTTATATCATGTTGCGGACTGTGTTCCACCGCCGTTGTTTACCTCAACTGGTGGCCCCTCGTCAGAGACTGCTTCTTCTATGCTGTTTCCATCCTGGTGATGCTGGTCGTCATTTACGACAAAACGATTTCTTGGTAAGTTATTTCTATCAATTTTGCACGGAGTGTTTCAGTTAGAAGAAATAAATTTGATAATGATTGAACGGGGGCTTTTTGAAAACACACACAGGCACGTCGATTGGTATTATTAGTTGATCTTTTTTTCAACAAAAACTTTTCATACCAGTTGTATCATGTAACAGTGGCAATATCAAATCCCTGTGTATTAATCAATAATTTTTCATAATACTTAAAAAAAAATGAATTACGTACAATGTTCACTTCATAATGAGAAAGTGAATAAAAACAATTTCAGCGTTTCTTTTTACTTGTACAAAGTGAAAAAAAAAACTTTGTTTATTTTAGTTCGAAACGCCTGCCCTTAGCAATTATTTTTCTAACTGCGTGACAGTAGTTATCAGTAATCTTTTTTGAAAAGAGATTAGATTCTGGAAACTTCCGAAGAAAGGAAAAAACTAATTAAGTTCAAAGTAAACATAGATGTGTAGATCATGCATAGAAGTTACTTTCAGATATCAACTGGAATAAAAGCACTTCCGGATCCATTAGGTACTGTCACATGAACATTGAATTACAAGAAAGAAAAAGTACTTTCGAAGCAACTTCTATCTACTGTTTTTTTCTGAAAGTACTTTCTAACATACACTATTGAAAAAATAAGGTGAATGTACAAATTTCGTGTGCTACGTATATTAGATTAGCGATTTCTTTTTTTTTATATTGGTACGTTTATTAGGTGATGTCGAGATATTGAATGTTGAGATGTTGAATACGTCTTGAAGAAATCAAAACAATTTACATTAGAACTAACGACAGGACCCTAAATGAAATATGTTGTCACTGATGATGCTACTTATTTCAAATGAAACGCTATGAAAATGATAAAATAACAACCTGTTCGTATAGCCATGGATGTTTTCCTTTAATAAATATCAGATTGTTTCAAAATTTTTGTCCGTTTCACTGTCATGTGAAACATGCGGTGCATGTGCGAAAGTAGCGATTCACATTGGATTTGATCGCTGAAGATTAAATCCATTTGGAAAAATTATCTTAGGAAGTTTATTCCACATAAACGCAGTTCTCCAGATGAAAGAGTTTTTGAACAGTGAAGTTCGAGGTGCACTGAGTTGAACCCCAAAACGATGAGCAGCCACAGTTCGTCGCGTATTTCTAATATGTACCGCTCTTTGTGGAATCGAATGTGCCAAGTTCGTGTTAGGAATCACATGTTAAAAGGTAAGACATCGTTAGTCCTCAGCTCGCACAAGTTTCTCAACTTCTGAGAGTTGTCGTTCGTAAGGGGGCGACAGCTGATTAACGGAAAAACAGATTATAAACGGATATGAACACTTCCCGTGAAAGTATAGAAAAGATACAAATATTCAACCTTTCTTCGATGTTCCAAGCTATCAAGGTTGTATGTAATGCCATCCGTCTCCAATCCGACGGGTGGCTCTTTCCTGGATGGAATCCAGCAACTTCAGGGTATTTTTGGGGGGGAAGAGCTCCATACATGAGAATAATATTACAAAGAAGGTCTGATCTGAGCTTTATGAAGCATCAAAAGTTGCTGAGGTGTTTACAGTTTTCTGGTTCGAAACAGTGTTCCAAGTTTTTGAGAAGCAGCCTTTGCAATTCCAACGACATGGTTGTGCCAAGACACATTGGTGTCTTGGCACCGGTTCGGGGACATTTATCTTCTTGGAGAAAACCGATGCCTGGGTTTTTGTGACATTGAATTGAACCTGGTTACTTCTATCCCAATTCGAAATCACTTACAGATTCCCATTAAGATATGCAACCTCCTGCTGCCGGTGAAGATGTGCCTCCGTAGCCGATGTCCTGGAATCTAAATGAAATGACGAGACAAGTGTGCTGTCGTCAGCAAAGCAATATATTGGATTCTTGTTTTTCTTTCGTTGATATACAGTAAAACGAGGGTTGGAGAGAATATGGATTTCTGGGAACACCAGTATCGATGATGAAAATATTCGAGAGATATTCATCGGCAGCCACTTGCAGGGAACGTTCTTTCAGGAAGCTGAAGAGCCGTACACAAAAATGATTCGACAAGCCATAGCATCGAAGTTTGGCCAGCAAACCGTCATGCCACACACGATCGAAGGCCTTAGAAATATCAATATTTCTCGATTGCGTTATTCAAAATATGATGAGAAATATGGGTTTTTGTAGCTTCATATCTCAATAAATACCCATTCTACTATGTCGCAGTATATACAGATCGATAGAGACTTCTCTACTCAATGCATCAATGCTGCTATTTTTTTTCCAAATTTCAATTTTTTGCCAGTAATCCAGGACGACGATTTGAGGACTCTGGTGGAAACTGACCCAACAAAACCGATGCGTGGGATGGCGAAAGAACTGGGCGTCCATGTGATTTTGATGGTTTAAAACATATCGTGAAAGTCAAAAAGCTCGAAAACTGGGTGCCCCACGATTTTAACGATAGATAAAAATTGTCACGTTTCGAGGTCTGTTCCTGTTTGGTTCTGCGCAACCAAAACGATCCTTTTTTGGATCGAATCATCACGTGGATCCTCAACGACAACAGGACACTGGATGAGCCACCCAAAAGTCCACCAAAAAGACCATGGTTACTGTATGATGGTTAGCAGCTGGTGTGATTCATTATAACATTCGTATTCAAGAATTAATAAAAAAAATCTGATTTATTGCTTCCATATTTGTCTCTAGAACGAATATGTCAAAATGTGTCCCCCTGTAGAATTTCAATGAAGTTTCGACAAGGCTCTTTGCTGATGCCAAGTTTGATCTGAGAGGGTGGGAGCATTCTGCCTTCGATAGTTCTTCAGCTGATTACAGCAGTTTTTCTTCAGTTTTGTGACTTTCTTGGAATAGAAACTCTGATACATTGCAGTTGACATCAGAATGGTTTCGAAATATTCATATTGCAATGATAACAAAACGGGTTATTTTGTCGATAGCTCACCGATCCCATTGGATTTTCATGCCCAGTTTCTCTTTATCTCAAGATATTATTGCAGAAGACATGGGAATTGAAAACAGGATAAGATACTGAGGTACAAAAAGACATCAAAGAAGGTTTTCTGAAATGGTGAAGAAATTCCAATTCTTTCCGATCTAAAAGTACCCAGATGGTTATTTGATTCCATTGAAGGAAATAATCACTGTAGTTTGCATGTTTTCTGTGATGGAAGTCAAGCTGCCTACGCTAAAGCCATATTTATGAGCTCTGAAACATGCAATGGCGTGAATGTACAACTCGTACAAGCCAAGAGTAGAGTGTCTCCTGTTAAACGAATGACCATTCCCAGATTGAAACTACTAGCAGCTACCATAGGAGCAAGATTATTTAGAACTGTTACCGACAACATCAATTCCAATATCTTGGTTTATCATTGGTCTGATTCGACTACTATGTTAGCTTGGATCAAAGATGAGGAGAATTGGAAACCCTTCGTCTGGAATCGAGTGAAGGAAATTCGAAGCTTAACTAATCCAAAAGCCTGGTTTCACGTCCCAGGAGATCTCAATCCCGCCGATCTTTCATCTCGTGGCTGTTCTCCACGATAACTGATTTAATCGAAATGTTGGGAAAGACCTGAATGGTTGAGAAAATCTCCGAAGTACTGGCCGAACCAACTCTACACTCGAGATGAGGAGATGATACAATCAGAGAAAAGTAGAGGTGTGATTTTGAATAATATTTCAACGTCAATTGATTTTTCCTGGTATCATGAGAGAATTTCGAAATCCAGTAAAATCATTCGAGTACTTGGTTGGATTCGAAGATTTGTTGTCAATTGCCGTTCCAAAAATCAGAAGAATTCTGATGAGGAATTGTCCTTGGAGGAAGTGCAGTCTGCTGAAAAATGTACAATGAGATTTGTGCAATATGGAGATTCCAATGGACTTGACGATTCTCAGTCGAAGATTTTCTGTTCCTTCACTGATGATGATGGTATTTTGAGGATTAGAACCAAGGTTTCTGAAAGAACTGATTTTGCTGATTTCCGTTTTCCTATTCTGCCATTCTAAGCATCCTGTTGTGAGTAAGCTAATCTACGGAACTCACTTGAAATCATTGTATGTTGGAGTTCAGGGATTATTGAGTCTTCTGCGCGAGAGATTTTGGATAATCAGAGGAAGAAAATCAGTGAAATTTGTCATTTCAAAATGTCCGAAATGTCGCAGATTCAACTCCAGACGTATTGAGGTTCCAGCCATAGCACTTCCAGAAAATCGTGTGCGAGAAGCCAAAGAGAGAAGGCTTGGATATACTTATATACATGTGCCATTTATAGAGCTGTTCATTTAGAACTTCTCTTATCACTGTCTACAGATTTTTTCTCACAATCATTCAGAAGATTTGTGGCCAGAAGAGGAAGACCATCGACTGTATACAGCGACAATGGCACACATTTTGTTGGTGCTGAAAATGCCTTTTCACGATTGGATTGGAAAATGACAACCGCTACAGTACCACCGAGAGGATAGCGTGGAAATTTAATCATCCAACAGCTGCCTGGTGGGGTGGTTGGTGGGAGAGGTTAATCGGAATTATGAAGGATCTACTGAGAAAAGTTTTGGGAAAAGCCAGTCTGACATACGAGGAGTTATTCACGAATTCGAGACCCCTCACTTATATGTACGAAGATAGCAAAGATCTTATTCCTTTGACTCCTGCCATGTTCCTCAAGGAGTTTCGGATTTGGACGTCGTGGAGAGTTCAGATCTGAGAAAACATCTGAGATAGAGGATGAAGCTGAAAGATGATCTTCGTAGGAGATTTAGAAATGAATATCTCGGTCAGCTGAAATTGTCATCGGAAAAACGAAAACAAAGACAAATCAAAGCTTGAAAAGTCGTTCCGATAGGAACCGACAATACCAAAAGGATGGAATGGCCTTTGGCGTATGTTCAAGAGCTGATACCTGGAAGGGGATAATAAAACCCGTCTTTTCAAACTAAATACAACGAAGGGAATAGTACTCATGCCTCTACAACGAGTATATCCTTTGGAGATGAATTGTGCTGAAGATTTGGACTCAACTCAGATATCAGGCAGAGCAGTTTCTACAAGAGAGACCGAAAGTAAAGAAACTGAATAAACCAAAGAAAATGACAACGGGTGTTTCAAAAATNCTATTGCTTTCTGAACAATTTCTGGAGGTGTATTTTCCAACTCCGAATCTTTAATGAATCTGAACTGTTTGTACTATAACAATCAACAATGAAACTATTTTCGTTGGGTGAGTTGACAGCAATAATTATGCAGTGCTTCGCGTTTGTTGTTATGGAAACGCCGACAATGCGCTACTTGGATATTGCACATGAATCGTCAGCGTAGCGTTGTCAACATGGAGAACGTGTCATATCAATCTGACATGTAACAATTCATGACTGACTTGGGTTATCGTGGTAACAGTGAGAAATTATTTCTCACTGTAATGGGGGATATTTCTCACTGCGTGAGAAATCTTCCATTTTGAACGTATGAAAGTGATGAGAGAAGTGGTACATTGTGTAGCATCCGTAGAAAAAGGTAGTTTGATTCACTGGACAAAATGAAATGAAATATTGAAACACCGTGATTACTTATATCTAAGCATCTATTTAAATCAATCATTAGATCTGTTGAAATGGTTCAGATGAAATTTCTACTAAAAACTATTTTTCAGAAGGATTTTTTTATGTTTATTGATCGTCCACATGGAATTGAAAAAACGCAAACATTTCATTGTATTCATTTTTCTTTGATAATATAAAAACAAATTCTTTTTTTATCATAATCACTAACGCCATTTTTTTATCAGGGGTGAATCACTGGTTATGCTCATCACCTACTTGTTTTATTGTATCGTCCTCCACTTCAATACCCCTTTGGAACGATGGGCTCAAACTTGGCCAGTACCCTTCAAAAGTCCCGTACCCACAGAACAGTCGGGATTGGTTAGCTACAAAACACTGGAGAGCGACGGGAAGATACAGAACTACGGAATGGATACCTGGTCACCTGAAAAACCACAAGAGAGCTTAGATCAAGGTATAGTATCGTTTGAAAAAAGTGTTAGCTACAATAAACTCTAGAGGGTTCAGACCCATTCACTTTAGACTCACCCACATATTTTTTATATATCAGACTCATTTCACTGTCGCTTTTTTTGCCTACGAACTAATCCGCGTTTTAGTTGAAACTTTTCATATTCTCCTCAACGTTGCTTATATTGAACATGTTCGTTTCTCATGTGTACACCAATTATTTTCAATAACATGATATGTACTATGTACATCGATTATGTTCAATAACAATCTCATGTTGAATACGTCTTAATGGATATGTTGTTAATGTGGGTAGTTGTCTCGAGGTGTAGTTTCAAAACACTGGCTCCATGCTGTTGATTTATTTTTTCAGAAAACATTTCATGGTTTCACGATAGACAAAGGTTATCTAGTTTTTTCGTTACCTCAGTTTTATCCTCAAATCGCTAATCAAAAGTATATCATACGTCATGAATATTACCGAGACACGCCCCCTTTTTTTCTTAAACATAACTCTCAATACGATGTTCAAATAAATGGCTTTATAATATACTACCAAAATGAAGAAAATGCATGATACATACCTATGATTTTCATTTTCATGTTCTCCAATAGAAATTGTGAGGTTGGAGTACCCACATCCTCTCCTATCTTCAATCATAACAAAGGTAGCCTCCTATGTCTTTTACACTTCTGAAAATGCGCATTCAAGAATTANATGATAATTTTAATTGAGAAGACTAACTGTAATATCTACGGTGTTTTATTGATTTGATTCAATTTAATTCAAATTGATTTATTTAATTTTATTGACCATGTTCGTATATCCTGAATTGTATTAGGTTATTATTATTTACATGTCTCTTTTCAGTTCATGTCATCACTTACTTTTAGTGATTTTACTTTTGTGATACTATTGTGAATTAATGTATATGTTATTTATATTTCGCACAAGGCGTTGTCAATAAGAATTTATTCTTCAGACAATAAAGTATATTTGAATTGAATTGAAAAAAAAACCGGAAATGACCATTTTATTGTAGATTTGAAGACTCCTCCCTATGGGCAATCAGAATTCACAAAAAGTTTTCTTCCATCTCAATATTCATGAACCGGAAGTGTTTATTTTTCGATGAATCGTAAAGATCTGAAACTTAGGTAATTCATATATTAGTCACCATCATCGTTACGTTACGTTAGTAGCCATGTTTTTCCCTTTAACGCTGCACACAACATGTATACTGCGATAGCAGCCATGTTTTTTTCTTTAACGCTGTGCACACCCTGTATACTACGTTGGCAGCCATGTTTTTTTATTCAACGCTGGCAGCCATGTTTTTTTCCTAGCGCTACACACCCTGTATACCGCCATGGCAACTTTTCTTCAACGCTGGAAACACACCCTGTACACCTCCATAGCAGCCATGTTTTTTTCCTTAAAGCAGACAGCCATTTTTTTTTCTTTGAAGCTACACACCCTGTACAACATTTGATTGATGTGTTTTGAAATGAAACCCTGTTCACCCAATATTATTGTTCTCATAAGCACACTCGAATAGTTATCTCTCACACAGCGGTAACGCCACCGCTAATTGAGTCTTATACATGAACAAACACTGATAAGCACTGATACAGTTCCACAAAAAATCGAATAATTCAGGGGATAGTAATGGTCATTTCTATTCCGAGGGTATTGAGTAGACATTGAGTAGACGCTCTGAAGCTAGCTTACAAACCCAAACGTTGCATACAAACTCTCATGTCATACTATTTCGTTATTGAATTCATGATGTGCTTCCAAGGAAACTATCTTTTCGCTTTCATTCTTTATGTAGCAAGACAAAAAGAGACAATGCACAAAAGAGTAAGAGAGAAATACTCCTATTTGATATTTCAATTCGAGCAATTAAAGAGAACAAACATTTTATTGCAGGCATGAAAAACTTCGGCATGGAGTGGTCTCCAGAAAAACATCAGCAGGAAGGTAAATATTGTATTATATTTTGTATCGTTTGTGAAGTTATTTATTGATTGCATTCTAAATTAATTCAACAATGAATTTTAGGAATGAATGCTGAAATTTCATGAATTTTAACAAGATAAATAGGCACTTTTATTCTCGAAGCGTTCACAATTATACTTGTATGAGCTCTAAATTAGTATTTACATTCCCGAAAGCTCATTGAAAACTCATTCTACGTAATTGGAAATTTGTACTAATTATCGATTGTCCAGCTCAATGTACAGCGTCTATGAAAAAACTTCTTGCCTCTTCCAGGTTTTCTTTCACTTTTACGATTGGTTTATGTAACCATTCATAACATGCATGATGACAGTATCTAAAAATCACTATATTTTGTATTTATCATATAAAATGGGATTTGTTTTAATACTGCATCATTATTGATTATCATTTATGTTTCATAAAATAAAACTACAAAATACAGTAGTTCGCCATGATGAGTTGATAGTATGACAATCACTCTTGTAACACTCACCTTCAGTTAGGAGATACTTTCCAATTGCATAGAACGGTAATGTAATAAATAAAGTTCAAAAAACTAAAAACACGCCTTTGAAGAACATCGAACTAAAAAGCTCAAAATATTTTTTAAATAAGCTTAAAACAATAACGAACTAAAAATACTTATTATTATTGTGAAGAGAGCGACGGGCTCGTGATATACAAAAAATATGACACAAAGTACCTTTATCACAATAGTACTAGTATTTTACACGCTTTATATTAGCATTACCTGTATGTATGTATGTATGCTTTTTTGTATGTTTGCTTGTAACTCTCAAACTTGAGATCTGTATTGACAGAATTATCGTAAATAAATCGGATTAACATAACGAATTTCAATTCGAAATCAAAAGTCCCAAATTGAAAATCAGATCCCTTTCTTTTTGTTTAAAGATGGTAGACAATGTTTTGTGGTGCATTTTATTAGTTCGGATTTCCGTTGTCTAAGTATATTGAGCAAATGAACTGAAATTACAATGAAATAAAATACAAGCAACAATCAAAAATTGAACTATTAACAAGAAAGAAAAATTAAAAATTAAAATATTCCAAGCCAAGTTACTTCACGACGTTTCGATTGTTAGTATCCACAATCGTCTTCGGGTGATGACTGGACTTATTCCTCCGAGATCTGACTTTCATAGGTCATTCGAGTGCTTTCACCTCTCCCCTCTCTCCGCTTCATCGGTTTTAGCAGGAGCTGACCTTTTGGCGGGAGTTAGTCGTGTTCCGCTTGATTATAGGTTTCCATATGTTGCGTATATCTACGCTACATTTTAAACAGACATACATGTACTAGGGGCAATCGAAGTCACAAGGATCAACTGATCAGTTTCGACGTGAAAAGCCTCTACACCAACGTTCCTGTCGAAGAAGCACTTCAAATCATTCAGGAAGCTATCCGAAGATGGTTACCTGAAAGATAGAACAAACTTATCGATACAAGTAATCATGAAATTACTAGAATGCTGTGTACGAAACTGCTATTTCTAACTGAAGGACGAATTTTTTATGCAAGATGAAGATGAAGTTGAAAGTCGGGCCATTGAAAAAGCCCACAATAAGCGCCGAGTCTGGTTGAGATACGTTGACACCTTCGTAATATGGAACCATGGGAATACAGAACTAGACACCTTCCTGAAGCACATCAACGTAAGTTCTTCATTACTTCCACGATGGATAAGGAAGTCTACAACGAATTGCCATTCTTAGACGAATTGGTTGAGAGGACCGACACTAAATGGGAAACATCTGTATACTGAAAACCCACTCACACGGGCAGTATCTGAACCAGGAATCCAACCACCATTAATCGACTAAGAGAGGAATCTTCAAGAGTCTAGTAGGCCGTGCGTTAGGGCTCTGTAATACAAACGAAGGTCTCGACAAGGAACTAGGCATCGTCAAAAATGACCATCAACGGAATGATTACTCCAAAGTGATGGTGAAACAGCCGGCACGTTCAATACTTGTACTTCCCCACATCAGAGGATTTTCGAAAAGGATAAGAAGAATTGGGCCCAAGTATAACATCAGAACCTGCTCCAGACCTGGGAGAGCAGAGAATCATACATCAGTGAAACTAAGAGGCTATTGAAAGTTCTCATTGCTGAGCACGAGAAATACACACACAGCAGAGCATGTTTGGACTCATCAACATAACATCAAGTGCTCTCAAGATGAAATCATTCACAAAGAGGAACACTGGTTTAGGAGAAAATTCATATGTAGTCCAACAACGCATTTAGCCAAGCTAGCGTAGAGATACGCAACATATGGAAACCTATAATCAAGCGGAACACGTCCAACTTCCGTCAAACGGTCAGTTCCCGCTAAAACCAACGAAGCGAAGAGAGGGAAGAAGGTATAGGTGAAAACACTCGAATGACCTATAAATAGTCGAATTTTGGAGGAATAAATCCAGTCATCACCTGAAGACGATTGTGAATACAAACAATTTTCTTCATCGAAAGACTTCGTCTTTCGAATTAGACTTGGATTGAGTTTCAGAAATCGATGGTATAGTGAATCTTTGCTAATCTGGGTAAATGAACCAGGTTTATCGTTGAACCCACCTATTAGTACAACTGTAAATCTTATTTGTGCATAGCTCAAAACTTGAAGTCTGTTGATGCACATCACTCATAAATTTTAGAATTCATGATAATTATCCCACCAAATAGTTAAATTAAGAGTACTACTAACTCATAATATTTGTTGTTAACGAACATAGATGTGACGTCATGAGCAGACGCCGTGACAACTGTAACCGTCTTGGCGCGAATTTTAAGCTTTGAATTAAAATAGTAATTTGTTCACCAAACTTCTACAGTTTTGAAAAATATTTGTTTTCATGTTTGCAAAACATGAATTAGATAAGTTTATTGAAATATTAATTCTATCATAACGATTTCGTGCAGAGTTCACTTGAAAATAATGTAATTTTATAATTCATGTTATTAATCATTAATGATGAAATGTTTGTATTGTGTCATTTGATAGTTTGATAGCTGAATAAACTCACTATCATTATATCATTTTCCAAAATTCTAATATATTTCAATCTGGATTATAAGTGTGTGGAAGTGTGAAGCTAGAGTGCTGCTAGATTGATAGAATTCAAGGATTCATGAGAAAAGTGCAAGAATCATTAAAGTTTCAAAAATTAGAATCACCTATAAAAAATATTGATGTTGACACCGATTTCAGTTTCTTTCAGAAAGTTCAACTGATCTGGTACATTGATCGTTATCAAATTCTGTAAAACGTCTAGCACTTCTATCTTTCTTCTGAAACGTGTCAATGAAAACATTGAAACATTCCAAATGTTTTCTCAGTTAGAAGTTAAAAATGTAATAGTAAAATGTTTTCGTCTCATTGAAATTCGTGGAAACATTTTACATTCCTGAGTATTAAGCAATCAAGGCTAATGCTAATACGCTACTTGTAGATTTTGGAAACCGGCTTAGTGGACCAGCATTGAACCAGACCACTGCAGATCCGACTCCTGTTGCTCCTCCTGCTCCTACAGGACCGATCAAACAGGATTACTACAAACCCAAAGAGTACGATCCCGCAGCACAGATCAATCCTCTCATCAAACCAGGTATTTGTATGTTAATAAGTTTATTTTAGGTATAAATGAAGCGAATGAAATTCACCATATTTCTGACTTTATGAATCAATTTAACTATAGGATAATATTACTGAAATAGGATATTATTCAACAAAGTACTAATGAATATTACTGGAGTTTTTTCCCCAACACCAAACCGTTATTTTAACACAGGTGTTAAAATAACGGTTTGGTTTCGGGAAAAAACTCCAGTAATATTCATAACTACACCAAAGGTTCCAAACAGTGCATCAAAAGTACTAATATAAAAGATAACAATATAGCTTCAAAACAAGCAGTGTTTCCAACACCAGATGATGACAGTACTACCAACTGTCGAAAGCGCTCGCAGATAATTAATAGAATATATAAAGCTTCAAATCTTTTTTGTAGAATTTAATATTGAAATACTCAAAATGAAGGAAAATTAGTTGCATCAATCAAATATATATATATTAACTCGAGGATTCTCACGGNTATATATATTTGTGACTAAAAGTAAACCTGAAATTGTACCCTGTTACATATAAATAGACCAACTTTGCGTCCTCATCTCTTGAGAACATGAACTTGGTAAAACGCGCATTGAGAAAAGTGTTTGGCAGCAGTACTCTTTTTGAAATTACAGTATTATATATAGTCAGGTCTATTTTTTCTCATTTAGTCATTCAGTTTGAGCACATTTATCCAATTTTTCAAAAACATAGCTGATTTCTAAAAATTTCCTGGATGTAGTCCGTATATACTCAAGTTTTGGTGAAAGATTTCACAGAAACAAAACAATTGTCACGGTACAAAACATCAATCATAATATCCTCAAGAATTCTGACACCAATCCGTTTTCGGTAGAGTCCACAATATACTTGTAGATTGACAGAAATAAGAAGAAGAAGAAGAATATATTTATTGAAATAGGTAACCCTAATATACATTATATAAAACATATCACTAACATTATGGAAAATGAAAATAATTATAAAAAACTTTGAATGTAGATATAATAACAAAATTGAAAATAAAAAAATAAAAATTTCTAGTTTGAAAAATAACGACATATGCTAATAAAAATACATTGCTATTCAAGTGCACCTCCAATATAATGATGAATAGAAGAAAACATTAAACAACATACATGAAATGTAGACATAGTTCAAAATTGAAAATAAAAAAATAAAAATTTCTAGTTTGAAAAATACCGACATATGCTATTAAAAATACATTGCAATATAGGTGCAGCTCCAATACAATGATAAATAGAAGAAAACAACAAACAAATACTATATTTAATAATATCATCTTACCAAGTATTATTCTATCTAGCATTATGGATGAATTTCAATAAATGTTTTTTAAAAATGCTCAATGATGGGCTAGATTTAACTACATTTGGTAATTTATTGTATACATCAAACCCTTTTGAAAATAAAGAATTCATGGCAGTTCTCCTATTTACTCTGCATAAATGCAAATATGATTATTATGATAAATAGAAGATTTTTCTTTCTGAAAAATACTTTGATTTTTACGCAGTAACTTATCGGGGTAAACTAAAAAGTTTGCCCTTCTACACTTGTATAAAGTTCTCCATTACAATTTTTTATATTTTTTAGATTGTAGAAGGTAACAAATACCAAAAAAAGGTCGATAAAAAACTGATTTTCCTCCACAAAAAAATGACTTTCGTTGAAACTTTAATATGATTTCTCGTGGCATATTTGTGCACTTCTAAATTTAGACTGATAAATTTAGAAAAATATGAAGGTTATCACCTTCAGTTATTCAGAATTTCATATATAAATGTCATAGTTAAGTAATACAACCGTAAAGAAACTGGTAGTCACCGCAAAGTTTGTGACATGATTCCGATTTCAGTGAATCTATTCACCTTTAGAACAATTCGCATACCTCGATTTTGAAGTTTTTGTAATTGAGATGTTTGATTTAGATTAATAGAAGCACAGTAATTAAAATGTGGTTGGATAATTGCATTATATACAGTAATTTCAGACTGAGTGGATAAATTACCTGAAATTTTTGTAAAGAAATATAGTTTTTTAGATATTTTTTTACATATATAATCGAGATGATTGCCTAAAAGTAATAAATTATCTAACTGGAATCCAAGATATTTGATACATGACACAATTTCAATGTTTTCATTATCGATTTGTAGATTCACTTCATTTAAATGAAGTATGTTCCATTTATATTTCCTTGTCATAATCATTCCTTTAGATTTCATTTTATTCAGTTTCACTTTATTTGCCATGTGAGGTACTCATTTACATCCTTTTAAGCTTTATCTGAACTTGTATCGTAGCATGCCAATAGTGTATCATNGGTGTGTGTTCTACCATATGCCTTCAATCAGTATTACTAATACAAAAACGTGCAATACGATGCATATGCAAAGCCAAGCCTAGGGACTCTTGTCGACCTCTTTTTGCCTCTAACAAAATCCTAACTGTGGTCTCCCTATTTATATACGAGACAATCTGCCTTGTCTTCAAAAATAGGGTATTGTTTAACAACTTGGACGCGCCAATGTATCAAACCAGGCAAAGATTCAGCTTTAAATTACCGCTGCCTTCTTCGTCGCTAGTTAAAGATTCCATTATTTACAACGGTCTCAAAATGTTCAATCACCTTCCTCAAGCTATAAGAACCATAAATGACCTTAGAGCTCTTAATAAAAAGTTGAAAGACTTGCTTTCTGTAATACCTTATTATAGCTTATCAGAATTATATTATGATAATTTTAATTGAGAAGACTAACTGTAATATCTACGGTGTTTTATTGATTTGATTCAATTTAATTCAAATTGATTTATTTAATTTTATTGACCATGTTCGTATATCCTGAATTGTATTAGGTTATTATTATTTACATGTCTCTTTTCAGTTCATGTCATCACTTACTTTTAGTGATTTTACTTTTGTGATACTATTGTGAATTAATGTATATGTTATTTATATTTCGCACAAGGCGTTGTCAATAAGAATTTATTCTTCAGACAATAAAGTATATTTGAATTGAATTGAAAAAAAAACCGGAAATGACCATTTTATTGTAGATTTGAAGACTCCTCCCTATGGGCAATCAGAATTCACAAAAAGTTTTCTTTCATCTCAATATTCATGAATCGGAAGTGATTATTTTTCGATGAATCGTAAAGATCTGAAACTTAGGTAATTCATATATTAGTCATCATCATCGTTACGTTACGTTAGTAGCCATGTTTTTCCCTTTAACGCTGCACACAACATGTATACCGCGATAGCAGCCATGTTTTTTTTCTTTAACGCTGTGCACACCCTGTATACTACGTTGGCAGCCATGTTTTTTTATTTAACGCTGGCAGCCATGTTTTTTTCCCAGCGCTACACACCCTGTATACCGCCATGGCAACTTTTCTTCAACGCTGGAAACACACCCTGTACACCTCCATAGCAGCCATGTTTTTTTCCTTAA